CTGCATGACAAGTAACAACAGTTTGCAATATTCAAGTCTTATGAATACAGATATGGTTTGCATCAAAGCTTAGGCTAGGCATGCATGTCAGAATTATAATCTATTTAGCAATATACTTCAATAGTCACTTTCTAAACCAATTGGACACTCATAAGTCGTACCAGTCTACCATCACAGCATAACTTAATGGCAATAGAAACCATCAGAGTCAGACTACTCCATCTAGTGAAGTAGTAAGTAGCAGTGAATTTAACGGCGCAAACAACCTAGAATATGGTTATACAATTAATCTGAAATATGCAAACATAGAGTAAAAATGGAACTTAATCAAACAAGCTTTTATAAGAATAGATACAGAAATTACCAGTAAAGCTTCATGCGAGTGGTCATCCAGAAGACAGAAAGTGAATGATTCAAGTAGTGAGTGCCTGCTTATACCAAAGGAGACTGCAAAGTCATCAATGATATCCCTCCATTCTTCCTCAGGCCTACTCCAATGCCGATCAAACAGATAATACACAAACTAAATCTCAGTTAAGAAAAATTAAATGAGCGAGCCCAATAAAAAGATGTTCAATCAACAGAAGAACCCTAAATGAAAATAAGTTAGAAAGAGAAGGATACCATTGCTTGCTTCGCAACCACCAAATCAGAAGCACCATGTAGAAAGAGGATGTCCACAGCAGCTCGAAGACTTTCAAATGGATAACATCCTGCCATTCCCCCTATTTTAGAATGAAAAAAGAACAAGGCGTCATTCTTCTGCAAAAAGGCAAAATCTGACCTTCCCCCATCTCCTCGTATATATCAAGATTTGCATCTTCAATGAAAAGAAAAGCACCCTGTCCGGTGGAGTCGGCTGAGAGATCTAACAACTCAGGCAGAGGCCATGCAAGCGCAATTGCAGCTTATTTCCTTTTACAGACATGATTACGCCAGGATATCAAATCAGCATGACGAGACCTCACATCTTCCAAGATTTGGTGCCTTATACACCATATTGATTATTGTGGAAAATATAAAACAAATATTGTGGAAAATATCGATTATTGTATCATTTTAAGATAGTATATTCTTCATTTAAAACAAATATCGAATGCTAAAACGAGTATCAATGCCGCAATCCATGTTACTCGGACTTGGGTGTAAGTGTCGGATATTTGAAAGATTCTTGGAGGTCATATCCCCATATCCAAGTGTTGGACACAGGTATTTAATGAAAAATGAAGAATCCGAACAACATAGGCCACAATAATGTACAGTACCAAAAGACAAAAAGATGAACACATCAACATTGCCTCAAGAAGACCAGATAAATGCAATGTCCAACTGAAAGCCATTAATTGCTCACAAATTCCAACTTCCAAGCTCCACTTGCTATAATTTTTAGTTCTTTACTCAGCTGATATCAAGATTGCAAGTTCCAAGACTTTGCTACAAACATATTGCTCTTAAAAGATGCTAAAATAGGGTAAAGCAATCGCTTAACTGAATCAAACCTGCTTTGTCTTCAATATGCTATCTTGAAGGTTGTGCAAGTCATGAAGCTGTGCTGAAAGACGACCCTTGAAAGATGAATCCAAAACTTCAAGCACATTGGATAAGCTGGCCATATGTACAGAAAACTTTAGAAATGAACCTAACCTATTTTTCATCTCTTCTAGCTCAAGATAATCTGATAAAACCAGTTAGGAACACCAAACACGCAATGTATAGACAAAAGGCTAAATAGCATAGTTCTCAAAGCATTTCATAAATTTTCAAGGATACATATACGTTGAAGTTCTGTTGCCATGTTTTTAAATGTCCACTTGACCCAATCCTTGACAACCTTCTCATCCAGCAACAAAGCAGTGACAGCATCACTGGCAACAGCAGTTTCATCCATACATATATCTGTAACATCTGTTGTTTTATGTTAAATGAACCATGGATTTGTAACAAACAACCAAGGCAGCTGTAACCAGGACATGTTATAAAAAAATATAAGAAAATCAGTATGCCCTACAGTGTTAAAATGTGACCAAGAGAAAAGCAAAAGGATACAATGACAAATCAAAGAAGCCAAGTTACTCTCCAAGGCTACATCAAAGAAAGAATAAAGCCGTTGGACATCAGCTGTGAGTTGATTATTTCCATCTTCTTTTTCTTGAAACCTCTCATCACATCTTCTAGAGATGAGGCCAGCATCTACGCATTCATCAAAAAGGCAAGGTGATATCTATTGTCAACACTTTTTATCAACAGAATTCTACAAATTGGACAAATATCACAGCGTTGACTACACTCCGCACATAGAGAAGCATGTCCACATGAGTTTAACGCATATTGTACATATCGTCCACAGTTTCTTAAGTCTCTAGCTGCTCGACAGTGCTCACTTTTTGCCTCGTTGACTAACTCACTAAGGTCGATAGTTGCCAAGTGTTCCAAAGCTACCTGAAATTTAAATTACAACCTCCTATAATTCCCCATACTAAAAATTTCCTATAAACAGCACTAATAAGCTATGTAATAATTTCTTCATACATTACATGATAAGCTACATATCCATTCCAACGTGATTTTTTTTAATGTTTAATTGAACTTAAACCCTAGTAGTTGCCAAAAAAAAGGTTCCTAATATCCGATACTGTGCAAGCAAATGTATACTTAATTCGCTTGCTACAGCACCATTATAAAATATAAAGCCTAAAAGAAGAAGCAAAAACCCTAAGAAACGTAAAGGGCATAGGGGTTTTGCAGGTGACAGTTAGGGAAGAGTACCTGAACGGCTCGGCTACTGAAGTTGGGTTGAAGAGGAGAAACCGGTGATCTAAAGGTGTCGCCGCCATTACTTATGATGCAGGAAGAGAAAAACGGAACGTTGATTTCCGATTTCTCCATTTAGTTTCCAGTTCTGGTAATGGATTTGCGGAGTAAAGTTTCAGTGTGTTCTCAATCCCTTTTAAAATAGGAAAAACAAAATCATTATTACAGTTCGATTTGTCTTTTTGAATTTTTACGTAGAAATTTGGATCGTCGGTGAAAATGCCATTCCCAGGCCGAATGGGCGATTAAAGTTTTCGCCCTAAAATGGGGAGGTCGGGTCCGAAGGGTCAGGTAGGCCAATCTCGGTATTTTTCGTGGTATTATCAATATGATTGAATCAAAATCGCACACAAATGGAATTCCCACCTTTCCTTTTTCACGGTATTTTTCGAACTATGATATTTTTAAATTAGCCAAATCTATTGAGTCGGTTCATCAAGTTACTTATATATTTAATATTTATGATGTTGAAATTTAAAATCTTAAAAAAAAAATCTTTTAACAATTAAAGTCTCTTGATATTGTATATATCCCTTTAAAATTTGATGCATAATTTTAAAATGTTGGTACAGTTTACACTTTTTCTTAAAATTTTATTAGTGTCAAGCTTATTTAAAGATAAATTTAAAATTTATGTATACATTTTGATTTAATTTATAATATAGTATAAAAAACTGATTTATTGTCATTGTGTATACACAAACTTTTATTGAATTCAATAATTAAGATAAAGTATACTAAATCAAAATAATAGATAAATTTAATCTAATTGTTTTATATTTTTAAAATCGTAATTGTCTGTATATGTTTAGCAATGTCATGCAGGTTAGTAATATTGATTTTTTTTATTAATATAGGGTAATTACAAGTTATAGTATTTGTTATAGATACTCTCAACTATTAATGAATACTTAAATACCATGTAGTTTGTAGTGCACGAATCCAAAACATCTAAAAGTTATAACCATCGCTTTAATCCTTGAAGTTACTTGATTCGGGCTAGTAGGGCCGAAATTTAACCAAACTTCCACATAATTTTGAAATTTATCCTTTTCATTTATATAACAATTTGTCTTAAAGTATAATAATAATAATAATAATAAAGTTTTAAGAGTTATAATTACAATTATAAATGCAAGTACTAGTTATAATTAAAATTAATTATTATAAAATATAATTAAATTTATATTAGATTTATTATTAAATTATAATATGATTCAAATTTAGATTAAAATAAATATAAATTAATTTACTTATAATATTTTTAATAATATGAGATGATTATAAGATATTATTTATTTGAAATAAATTCTTAACCTAATAACAACACATTTTGAAAACATAACTATTGAAACTTGTATCCTCTAGAAAAAATAATATATTATTCATTTAATAAATAAACGAATATAAACATAGGCATGTTTGATTTGTTTATATTTATGAACAAGTTCGTTTGAAAACCCATTTATAATATCGTTTATAAGCTTGTTTATTGATTTTCCCTTTCCTTCTTTTACATTCTAAATATCTATGAAAGTGTGGATTAAGTTGAACACAAATTGAAGTTTAGAGTTCAAACTATGAAATTTAAGGAGGTTAAGAACTAGTGTTTAATTTAAACATTTTCTGAACAACATGTTTACGAACAAAACCAATATCTCCATGGAAATCAAACACTAAAATTAAAAAAAAATAAATAAACATAAATATAATGTTAAAAACTTATCCGAATACGAATTAAACATTAACATAGTCTTATTCCATTCATTTAAGTTGGATCTTTAAATGCTTCAAAGGAGTATCATCTAGAATATTTAAGGATTTAGGTTGGGTTTTACTAATGAAGGAACACGTGACGTGAGGGATGCTAAAACGTTCCCTAATTCAACAGCTCCGATCCCACCGTTGAAGGGCCCACACGGACCGGCCTATTTTAAAAGTCCACAAATCGGACGCTCAGACCCACACTTTAAAGTCAAATGTCATCAAAGCCGTCAAAACTACATATATGCAAATATAGAAAACATTAGGGCCAAAATCGTCATAGCGAAAAAACCCGCCTTCTTATAAATGACCTACGAAAACAACCTTCTTCTTTTTCAACAAACGGATTGTTTGGATATTTCGTCTTCTTCGGATGCTCTTCCTTTGCTCCGACACTTGCTACGCCGCGGTTGCCGTCGCTCAGTGCATAATTCTCTAGGGAGCGCCCTTGTCGTTTGTGTATGGTTGTTTCTTTTATTCTTTTTCGTTTTGTAATTTTGATGGAAACTGCGCCTGTGAAGTCACGACCTCTACACAACTTAAATTCCACGTTTTTCAAATGGGGGACCAGCGGAGGTGGTAGTTCTTCTAATACAGCCGTCGAACGCATCCTTTCACCTGAATCCGACTCCGACCACAACGGTTTGCGTCCGATGAGTGTTGGGTCGCGCTCCACCCGCATTCACCGCTTATCCTATTCTCCCCCACCACAACCCATCAAACTAAGCCACCGCGAAGAAACGAAGCAACGAGAAGGAGAAGAAGAAGAGTCGTTAAAGCCGCAAAAAAGTAAACCCGACGAAGAAGAAGTAGAGGAGGAGACTGTGCAGCGACGGTGGAATTTGAGGCCGAGGAAGATGGTGGTTATTGAGACGTCCTCGGCTGCAACGACGACAGTGGTGGAAAAGACGAGTGAAACGGCGGCACCGAAGTCAATGAGATTAAGGGTTTTGGCTGAAAATGGAGTAGGAGCAGAAAAGAAAGAGAAAAAGAAGTTTCGTTTAACTTTAATGAGGGATGAAATTGAAGAAGATATCTTCGTGATAACGGGATCAAGGCCCTCCAGAAGGCCCAGAAAAAGGCCCAAGAATATCCAGAAACAGCTTGATGTATAAGCAAAAATCTCTGCGTTTTTTATTTATGTTTTTCAATCATTTGATAAAATGTTTAACTTTCTTTCTGGTTTTGTGGATGTTTCAGAGTGTTTTCCCTGGACTGTGGTTGGTTGGTACAACACCTGAATCTTACCGTGTTATCGATGCGCCTATCAAGGTTCTTTTGCTGCTTCTGAATTTTCATGTGAACTTTAATTGTTTTAGGAACTTATTTAGCTGTTAACTGCAATTTCTTCAACTTGTTTATCTGCAGAAATAGACCTGTTTCTTGATGCTTAACAGATTACCAGATGCAAAGGTTGTACTTGTGCCCTTAAATTCCCTAACTTTCATTTTTTTTTTTTTGAACTTTTAATGTCATTTTATACTTATTTAGGGAGTTTTCCAGTTATTTTCTTATGTCTGCTACTGAAATAGTTTGGTGAAACGTGTTTGCAGGGGATGGTAATGGTGTTTAGGGAATCTGGAAACTTTGGGAACTCAAATCTTTTGAGGTATTATGAGAACATGATGTTTTGTAAAGAAAAGGAGCTCATGAGAAATGATATTTATTTTCTTTTCATAAGGTTTTGATAATGGTGTTAACGAATAGGATCATAAGCTGTTGGTATACTGCTAGTCCTTTATAAGACATCAAATATGAACAGAAATATGGACGAGTCATGAATGGATAGGCTCTCCTTGAAAATTTCAAATTATTACATATGTTAATTTTTTTTTGTATTTTTTATTGATAATTTATTTTTGTTTTTAAAATTTTATAAATTTGCCCTTCCTAATATTTTATAAGGTTTTTACCCCTGACATCAAATTCTGTGTCCTCTCTCTTTCAAGGCCCTTCATTTCAGCATACGGAATCGGTATTACGATTCTTGGATATGTTAAAATATGATGGATCAAATAGAGAGAATTTCTTTCAAGGCTTTTCATTTTAGCATGCTAAAAGCACTGCACTCTTCCTTCACCTGGAAGAGTTGTTTCTCAATTCATTTGAGCACATCGTCTAGAGGAGCACTCGATAAGGTTTAATTTAATTCATTACTTGACCGCATTTTTCACCCTTGTTTTCATCACTCCACGTTGATATGTTATATTGTAGCTGTACTACCGAATTTGAGTACTTGGCATAAGCAACCCTTCCGTTTTTGCATTTCCGTTTGACAAAAAATTTCATTGGAAGTTCAGAAGAGTGATTCCTTATCCGACTTAACAGTTCCATGCAGGGATGGACTGGGGGTCGGGTGGAGTATTGAAAATTTCAAATTAACATATATTTTAGATATTTTTTTATATTTTCTATTGATAATTTATTTTCGTCCCATAAGATTGTATGACTTAAGTCCGAAGAGTTTCTCTGTTTGTTTTAAAGGATCTTCTAGGTAATGTTATCCCATGTTGAACAAGGGAGCCAATCAACTCCAATATCTTTATTTTAATCTCCTACGCAATAGTATTTATTCAAGGTTATTACTTTTGAATTGAATGGTCAATCGCCTTATGGAAACCAATGGTCTAGCATTTGGCAGGGTTGACTGTTGAGTTAGCAGACATAATTTAGAATTAGTCTTCAAATAATCCGATATTAAAAAAGTATAGTGTTTGAAAGTTGAAAACTTTTTGTTCTGATGGTACATCACATGATGATTTTGCACCTAGAACCGGAGGCGCCAATCAGTAAGTAAGCGAAATTTTAGTTTTATATAGAGAAAATCGCCTCAGTGACCAAAAAAAAGTTATAATATACGATTTTAACCAACTTTTTTTGGATTTGCCAAAATGACCAACAAAATCGCAACGCGAAATAAAAATCGCAACGCGATCCCCAGAATCGCAAATCAGTTTCCAAAATCGCAACGCGATTCTTGAAAATCGCGATGCGATAGTACAAATTCGCATTGCGATTTTCAATAATCGCAACGCGAATATGAAAATCGCAACGCGAACACATAAATCGCAACGCGTATCCGTAAATCGCAACGTGTATCCGTAAATCGCAACGCGTATGGGTAAATCGCAATGCGTATCCGTATATCGCAACGCGTATCCGTAAATCGCAACGATAATACATAAAATCGCAACGCGTATCCGTAAATCGCAACGCGATATTTAAAGCGCCATTATAATCGCTACGCGTATTTTATTTTCAAATTACAAAAAGAATATTAAGACAAAATCCCGTAATCGAAACTCATAACCTAAAACCTAAAATCACAACTCAGTCCCATCTCCATCTCTCACTCTCTACGGCGAAGAAATCCGTCCCCATCTCCGAAGATTTCCGTCCCCATCTCTGGCGAAATCCCTCACAACCATTCACGGTCAGAAATCCCTCACAATATTCAGAAATGGAAAATCAACCTCCGAGGGTTAGTTTTTTTAATTATTTTTATTTTGAAATGTTTGCATTATTGTAGGTTTTTCATATTGAAACTGATGATAAGTTTACTGGTCATTTCAATAATAGATTAACCATTTCACTTAGATTTCATTTCGCGTTACGATTCTGTCGTTGCGATTTTCATTTCGCGTTGCTATTCTCTCGTTGCGATTTTCAAGTTAGTATTTGTCTTTGTCTTTGTTCTGTCTTTTGGTTGAAGTAATGCAATCCATTCAAGTTTCAATTTGCAGAAGAGTCGCAACGAGATAAATGAAAATCGCAACGAGAGAATGACTGTCGCAACGAGAGAATCGCAACGCGAAATGAAAATCGCAACGAGAGAATCGCAACGCGAAACCAAAATCGCATTGCGATTTTCATTTCGCGTTGCGATTCTCTCGTTGCGATTTTCATTTCGCGTTGCGATTCTCTCGTTGCGATTGTCATCTCGCGTTGCGATTCTCTCGTTGCGATTTTCATTTCAACCAAAAGACAAAACAGTGTTGCAAATTTTAGTTTCAAGAATAAACTACTACTTTTTATGTTTATTGTTTTTGGTATATCTTCACAGTGTAGTTTTTGGTATATCTAACTTGGTATGTTTATTGTTTTTGTAGAAATTTTTTCGGCTCAATTGACCTTGAGAAATAAAGTCAGCCTGGCCACTACAATTGCAAAGAAGCTTTCACCTGCTCAAAGACAATTGTTTGAGGAAACCTGCTTCGGGCCATGGCTGAGAGTACAGCATCCGGGTGGAGATGCTAATTTGACCCATTTGTGGCTTCAGACCATGACATCAAATCTACCCGACAGTATACAACGTGGTGAGGAAGAGATATGGTTTCATTTTCCACCAGCGTATACTTGCTTTGGGCGGAAGGAGTTCTGCTTAATCACTGGTCTACGATTCGGACACGATGATGTAGGCCGGTACACTCGTCATATCGCCCGCCCATCATGGTTATCCCGGGTTTTTCCGGATGAGTCAATGGAGAAGCCGAACCTACATGTCGACGACCTGAAGAAATTATTTAATAAGAAAGCTGGTTTCACTCGGATGGAAGACGTCGATGTTGTCCGAGTATGCCTTCTACTACTTGTGTATGCCGGCTTTTTAGGCAGAGAGGCCAGACAACCTATTCATCGGGAGCTAATAATATTGGTAGAGGACCTGAATGCATGGAATCTGTTTCCGTGGGGTTCGTATATATGGAAAGCTACCTGGACTAAGTTGTCGTCTGCCTTTGATGACCGCAAAAGTTTGCGGGGCGATGGGTCCAAATACACTTTGTCAGGCTTTGTTTGGGCCTTTAAGGTAAGAATTTCTATATAATGTTTCTAAAATTATAATTAATTATTTAACAATTACTAATTTTGTTATTATATTGTTTGTAGATTTGGATATTCGAGGCTTTCCCCAGCATGCGTACATATGCAATAAAAACGTCAAATGATATTCCCAGGGCTATTTCCTGGAAGAGGAAAACTCTGTTGGATTGGGAAGACTTAATACCATATGCCACAATAAATAATGTAAGTTAACACAAATACTTTCATATAATATATAAACAAGTTATTAATAGTAGACGTTTAACTTTGTTTGAGTTTTTATATTTTAGGAGGCCAACATTCCATTACAAAGACTGTCACCCACGGAGGAAGAGCTTGCCACTGATTGGTGGCAAGCTAGTCAGAGTTTTTTTGATGGCACGGATGATGAGCAGCATCCACTTCCTCCAATTCGAGAGCCATCACCTCACCTAGAGCCATCACCCGATCGTGACGACTATACACCTCTAGAACGAGAGCCATCACCTATCCCGTCACATCATCGAGCCTCTTCTCCACCATCACCTCATGATAGGCGACCGGCAAAGATGCCACGACTCCTATCTCCCTGTTCTCCACCTCCACCTCAACGGGATGAGTCAAGGGAGTTACGTGATGAGGTCAATGCCTTGCGTGAGGAGATCGGTACTCTACGCGATAACGATGGTGCATGGCGTGTGGAGGTGTCAACTTTACGTGGTGAGGTTGCCGCTCTACGTGAGATGATAGTATCGTTGCAGAATGAGGTTCATACTCTACGCAACGAGGTAAGTTTAAGATTTTCCATATTTAACTTAATGATAAATTTACTCGTAATTTCACTTAGATTAGCCATTTCACTTAGATTGCTTAGTAAATTTATTCGGTTGCTGCCAATTCTGCTAAACTGTGTATTCTTTAACACTGTGAAATAGTATTTGTCTTTGTTTTGTCTTTTGGTTGAAAGTAAATTTGTTCGGTTGCTGCCAATTCTGCTAAACTGTGTATTCTTTAACACTGTGAAATATATTTGTCTTTGTTTTGTCTTTTGGTTGAAAGTAAATTTGTTCGGTTGCTGCCAATTCTGCTAAACTGTGTATTCTTTAACACTGTGAAATATATTTGTCTTTGTTTTGTCTTTTGGTTGAAAGTAAATTTGTTCGGTTGCTGCCAATTCTGCTAAACTGTGTATTCTTTAACACTGTGAAATAGTATTTGTCTTTGTTTTGTCTTTTGGTTGAAAGTAAATTTATCCATTCAAGTTTCAATTTGCAGAAGAAGAAATAGTTTACTTTCGCAACACGAAACTTAAAATCGCAACGCGAAACCAAAATCGCAACGCGAAATGAAAATCGCAACGACAGAATCGCAACGCGAAACCAAAATCGCAACGACAAGATCGCAACGCGAAACCAAAATCGCATTGCGATTTTCATTTCGCGTTGCGATTCTTTCGTTGCGATTTTCATTTCGCATTGCGATTCTGTCGTTGCGATTTTCATTTCGCGTTGCGATTTTGGTTTCGCGTTGCGATTTTAAGTTTCGTGTTGCGAAAGTAAACTATTTCTTCTTCTGCAAATTGAAACTTGAATGGATAAATTTACTTCAACCAATAGACAAAACAAATACTAACTTCAGGGTATTAGTTTGAAACATATTTTTCTTTGTTATCTGATGCATTTTGTGAACTATGATAGAATAATGACTTGGGTGAATACAATGCAAGTTTGAAACATATTTGTCTTTGTTTTCACTGTTTAAATATCATGTCTGTTTATTTACTGATTTTTGTATTTAATTATTTAGCGGCCCGATAGAGTGGATGCTTTACGTCGGGTTATTAGGGGCCCGATGATATCTTTTTGTTGCTTGAACGGCCTTGGTGGGGCGTAT